GAAATATCGATAATCGATAACGCTTCGCCCCTGGAGCCAGCCCCATTTCTCTTGACTTTCCTTTAGACCCTCTCCGAAATGCCTAGGCTCCCCACTTTCTTATCGTTACTGTGAATCTATTAGGACTTTCAGCAATAGTACTCCTTTTTTTAAAATTGACCTATGGACTGGTGGACGTATTGAATTCTGATTCAAAGGCATCTGAAATATTTATTCAGGTAATTCGATGGACGCCATGCTTTGAGGCAGAGCGGCTTGCGATACATCGCATCGATTTTGTTTTAGATTATGTTTAAGGATTAGGTTAGGACAGGTTTTCAGCTACTTGTCTTTTTTATCGAATTTTGAGATCGCTTTTCTGTTGCCAGTCACGAGACTATAGAGCTCTTTTAGGTACCTAATTTGATAAACTAATTCAGCGTAATAAAGACAGGTTTTTTAGAGGAGGAAAACCCGCATTCGATACTGATATCGAAACTTCACTTGAATGCGATACTTTCCCTCTAAAAATTCTGTGTCTCTATTACGTTGATTATGTTTGTCAGGTGTGGTAAGTGAATTCTTTATAGCCTTGTGACAAGTGCTATCTTAAAATTAGATAAAGATGACAAGTAGCTGAAAACATGGAACTAATCGATGCTATATATCGCATGTCCTCTGATAAAAGATATGGCGTCCATCGAATCACCTTAATTTTTTGTTACACGGAAAAAAATGGATCGCTGATTTAAAAATTAAAATTGTTGAAAAATATGTCCGACATGTTTTAAATGTACATTTTACAATTTCGGAAAGCTAATTTAACCACGGGGGTGATTAAATTAGCATGTTTTAATTGTAAAATCTACATCGAAACAAGTCGGACACTTTTTCTACTATCAAATTCTTAAATCAGCAATTTCGATTTTTCCTCGTATAATCTTTCCTAAATTGGGAATTGACCCTCGAAAAAACCATATGACCAGCAATCCTTTCAGAAACCCCGTTAGAAGTATCGCTTCAACACTCGCTAAGCCATCACTCATCTTTCTCGCTACATTGAAGGTTCTTACCTCTCATAGGAGCGTATATTTTTGAACTTAGATTCACCGTGAACTTTGAACACTATCCATTATTCCAAAGAAAGAGTCCGAGCATCCCTAATACTTTGGCACAGCGATATTCTTTGAATCCAAGTCCCAGCCCTGAAACATCATTCGTTCTCACTCTCTGTCAAACGCTCCGCTGCGCGCGCTCTGAGCCGCGAGTTCGACAAGCGTGATACAATTATTTCGACACCAATGAAGCCCAAATTACATAACCACTGAGTTGAAGGCGTTCTCTGTTTTTTTACTCGTCTAAGCGCAGAAGCAAGTGCTAGTTAACGAAACAAAAACGCCGTGGTTTCACTCCTGATGTTTCATTTGTTCTTCAAACATGGGTACTGCTCTACTATACACAAAAACTTGATCAATGTTCCGCTTAATTTTTTCAATATGAATTTCCAATGGTATTTCACAATTCGACGGCGCAAGTCCGCAATCACATATCTCGTTTGCGGTGTCCGAAAATCTCCGCCTCCATGTTATTTTTCTAAAGGATAACAAATTGACACCATTCCTTGACGTTTTTGCAGAATTTTCTTCGCACAGAGAAGAAACATCACGGCATTTTTAAAGAATTGCCGTTGAGTAGTTTTCCGTTTAAAAAATTAAGTATGACAGGAAGTCGGCGACGCCGCAAACCGAGTCATGTACTTGCCGATTTACACCGTCAAATTGCCCGGAATATATGAATTATGAATGTTTGTTGGTTTCCTTTGTAACGGAGCAATATTTTTGGAAGCAACTGAAAAATTTAGGATGGATTTACGGTGTTTTTAATTTTGAAGACGGAGTGGATCTTTATAAACAGTGAAAAATTGTCTCCTCAAAATTTTGCATAACGTTTAAAAAATAATTATTTAATGATAATATTTACAAACATTATCAATATGTTTTCATAAAACACCTTAGAAGTGTTTTTAAAATGTTTTAAAAACTTTATTTATCTTTGATTGGAGGACTTTTGAACATTTTGATTTCTTTCTTAAAATCATTAAGGCATGACTTTCAAACAAATTAAAAATGTATAAAATTTGTCATCATGACTTATCTTTTCAAACGTTTCAAAGTAGTTTCGAAAATTATTTTTTTTTGTTTTTGTCGCAGAGAGACGCCCGCAAAACATTTCATCGTTTTCAGAGATTAAAAAATAAAATTCTAATCATCATTATTCTGTTAGGGTGGAGTTCAAACGACTCGAACCCAAAACGGACGTTTCCTGACCCCACGGTATTCATTCTTAGAACATGGCAGTATGGCTACACGTTGTTTCTACAAAAAAAAAATCAGCTGAAACGCTACCGGGCTTTAAACGACTCTGAAGTTAAATCCGTGGAAACCCCAAACGGGGGATTTTCCCGGTGTCGTCAACACCGCCCCACCGAGAGGAGTCCGGTAATCAAAGAGAAGCGAGGGGCGTTAACGGTCCCCCATGAGGGCGCGACGCAAAGCGAATGGCCGAAACCACCCAACTCCACCGGGGGACCCAGCGAGGATCCGCGCTTTTATCCGAACGCCCCGCGATTTTCGCAGTTCGATCCCGCGACAAAGTGGTCGTAGGATAATTAGTGTTAAAGTGGTTGAAACGAGCGCTGGAGCGTTCATAATTCGCGGTTGTTAAAGCGAACATCATCCCGCGCGCTGGGGGGAAGGGGGAGGGTTAACGCTCCCTTCCTCCACCCTCCACCGCCGTTTTTTCCTCCGAGGGGCGGGGTCGAGGGGGTGGGGTCGAGGGGGGCCGGGGCAATTATCTCGCGGGGGTGGCGACTGCCGAAGAAAAATGAAGATGCGGGAGTATCATCTTGAGCGCGGAATTCTTCGCTCGGCTCACAGAAAGGCGTAACTACAATTTGAGATGAGCCCCGGGAAGCATTGAGTTATATGGAAGACAGGGATCATCACCGAGTGTGGTTAAACCTTTATATCTGAGGGCGACGAATTGATACTTACCGGTATCAACAGCGCTTTCGGGGCGATGAAGTTTGATGCTCGCTGCTTTGCTACTTCGTCGCTCCTCCCGCGCAAAGGCGTATCTCCACGCCCACGTGAGCCCTGTCCTCCGTATGACTTAACGCTTTCCTCGGCTCATGTGAAAAGAGGGATGCGCCCTTATGTGACTTGTCGGTGAAACGGGGCTCTTCCGCGGGACTTTGATGTCCCGTCCGCAACGAAATATCCCTCGACAGCGCGAGGAGCGCGCTTTTCTCCCCCCCCCCTCTCTCTCTCTCTCCTTCTCTTGATGAAGGGGATGCGTTCATCATCATCACTTGCTAGGATAACAGCGTGTTCGCCGAACGGAACCGAATCAAGTCAAAAATACTCTTTTTTAAAAAAAAAAAAAAAAAAAAAAATTAAAATATCTTAAAATATTGCGAAGTCGCTGGGGTGTTAATGTTAAATTCGATAGTAAGCACTGGAAAAAAAACACATTGGATCTAGAGTCCAGACTCTGAAAAACATCGACAAGAAAAAGTACTCTTGATTCAATCAGAATCTAGCTTGAATCAAGAACCTCGCCTCTTAATTTAAGCGGGTTTCGTTTTGATTCGAGGAAAAATCCGATTGAATCAAGAGTACTTTTTCTTGTCAATGTTTTTAAGAGTCTGGACTCTAGATCCAATGTGTTTTTTTTCCAGTGAGGATTAGCAGAAAGAAACCAAGCCACATCGGCTATTGCCGAAAACTGGGCATTTTAATTTTTTACAAGAGAACGTTTGCGTGGATACACTGCAGTGGCGTGGCGTGTATTGCGATATATCGATCGTTATGCCATTTAAACCTATGGAAAAAGATCGATTATCAGGGCGTTCGCAGCGAACACCTTAGTAATCGATTCTTTAGCATAGCTTCAAATGGCGAGATATCGATAATCGATTATTCACGCCACGCCACTGATACACTGTGCAAAAACTCTACTCAAAACGCTCATATCACAACCGTTTCATGTAAAAAGTTAGACTGCCCAGTTAAATGTGATAATATCTTGTGTGGCTTGGTTCCTCTCTGCTTAACGCGGTACATTTGTACAATTTTAAAAAAAAATTTAGCATATCATAAACTTATTCGACGTGCTTAAGGAGAGCATTAGCGTGGTCCTCCAAGCTCATTTTGAATGAAATTGAGCCAATAGATGTTGAGATAAGGCTGTGAACAAAAATCAGAGATCCCGGAAGGTCGGACCTCCATTTTTTCAAGTGTGGTTTTTTTTTTCTCGAGGCACCTTTAAACGCCTAGAAATGGGAAAACTTTAGCTACCTTATTTTTCTTTTAAATGACAATACTTATTCTACCTGCAAGAATAACGATGAAGTGCCCAGTGGCCTGTGGCTATACTTTACTGCCGTCAGTTCCTGGTCGAAATGTTCTTGCGCCGTGCGAATTCGTGGTGAAAGGAGCCACGTCGCACGCAAATACTACGCACATAGTTCTTTTTAACATCATAAATACGAACATATGTGGATCGAGTATAACACAAAAACATCATATGTTGCATTTTTGAGAGGAAAATGAATGATTAAGAGGTATTTTTGAATTTAACTTGTTGTAAATTTCCTTCTAGTAAATATTCAAAGTCCAGAATATTAATTTTTATCATGAAAAATAGTCGTTATTAAACTTCATTTTGAACATTGAATCTCAGAAAGGAATGCAGCCTCTAACCTCTTTTCTCGGTTTGAACTGTATGCAATTTGGCGCGTTTTTGTTAAACTCTGTTCATATCAGGTCTGTACTTAGAAAAAAAAAAAGAAATAAGAGGAGGGAGAAAACTAGGGGAGGGGGGGTGTTTCCGGGTAATTTTTAGACTTCCGTGTTAAATGACGAAAGTGATTCAGGAAACAAGTGTCTTTTTTAGAAAATGAATAATGTAAAAATTCTGGAAGCGTATTTTCGAAATTAATCTTCCTTTTTTGTCCACAGGTTCCAGGAAAGAGAGATCAAAATTGTCGCATCACATAGGGACCGTTTCAAAGACATGGCATGAAGCTGGGTAAGTCTAAAATTTTAATCACATGAAAAACAAGGCATTTACTGTACACAATATCACTCAGCAACTTCCCTCCAGAAGTTCGCTTTTCGCGTGTAGATGGAGGGGACAAATGGACATTTTTCGTCGCCCATCAGTTTCTAAGTGAAAGTACAATTTTACTTCTTCTTCTATTGATGAATTGGGCACATTCCTGTTTGTCAAGCTCTTAAGCACAGAGCACGTACAAATATCAATGAATATAAAAGATTCGTCGAGCCGATAAAAACAGAAGTAGCAATAAAAACATTCAATTACTCGTATCTTTCGGTGAAGAGAGCCAGCTCTATGCTGCCGTGCTAAGGAAGAACGCCGTATGAACATTCGAGAGTTGCCAGATTTCCTTAGATAAAATGTCTATTTTTGAGGAAAATTATGAATGTTTTTCCTTGAAATTTTCAGGAACTTTAGATCAAAATACAAACAAAATTCTCTGCAAAATTGGCAGAAGAACATTCACAAGTTTACCAGGGAATTCGTGTTTCATCAAAGAAAATTTGGCAACGCCTGAAGGTTCATACGGCGTTTTTCCTTTGCACGGCAGTATGCCCCCCCCCCCCATGAGTCGTGGGCCGTCATCTCGGTAATCCATTTCCTAAGGGTTTGTCCATGCTCAGTCACACTTTTCACCAGTCTCCCTTCGTCCATACCTGCCCTTACCGCGCTCCGAAAAATACAATTGACTAGTTGAACTTGGGCGCACGAAGGGGAGCGGGGGGGGGCTTGCCCCCCTAGAATTTAAAGTAGTATTATCTAGCCCCCTAAGAAATTCTGGATGGTGGAAAAAACCTTCTTCTCTCTTAATGTAGAGTCTTAAATGAAAACACTGTGTTCATTCAGTCAGTATTTTCTAAAATTTTCATAATGAAATCCTCCAAATACATCCAAATAGAATTTAAATTTCTAAAAATTTTCAGAGGTAGACATTGCATGCAACAATTCGAAGGTATGTTGTGCTGAAAATAAAAAACCGTAATATTTTCAGCCGAAATTGATGGAAAATCTCCGTCACGGAAGTCTGAAAATGTGTCCAAATAGATTTGAAATTACAGAAATTTTCCGGCTCTATTGAATGCAACAGTTCGAAAGTATTCTTCGCTGAAAGTAAAAGAATAAACGACATTTTTCTGCAGAGATGGATGGATAATCTGCGTCACGAAAGTCTCCAAACGTGTGCAAATAGATTTGAAATTTCAAAAATTTCTCGGGGGAGACCCAGATCCCCCTCAGGGCTGGGGGGGTATTCCATACTTCCAGATCCCCCAGTGGTCGGGCTCCAGGTCCCCCTATCAAAATGACCTAGATACGCCCACGTCTTTTCCCGGGAAACTGCAAATTGCCGTCCCTTTAAAAATTGTTAGTTACTTGAGAGGAACTTGCGCCGCACCTGCTGTATCGCACGGATAGCAAAGTGCGAGATCTAGGATATTGTTCGTCTCTGGCTGCCTTATACTTCGCACTTTAAAATAACCACCGTTGAAAAGTGGTGTTTTAAGCAAACTTCGCTTTACCCACAAGTGCTTTCACCTTAATAGCGGAGGGAATTTCGACCGGTCGCAACCTCCTTCCGCGCCGCACAGTGGATCGAGTCAAAAGGAGAGGTCGGACAAAATTTGGAAACTTTAAACGCTTATAACTCCGTTTGTACAAAACTTTGAGGTACTGCGAGTGGTTCTATTGGTTTCCTCGTAAAATTTTCTTGAAAAGGCACCCCTTGAAATTAAAAATGTGACAAATTACGTCAAAATTGGCAGTTTTCGTCAAAAATTTTACGGCCGACCTACCATATTGACTCGATTCACTGTGCGCCGTTCGCAATCCTGTGAGAACCATAGAATATAGGTCAAAGCCTATTTACATAGTCTGGCCGGTAGCAATTTCTCACAGGCTCCTAAGTCTGTAAAGGAAAAAAGTCTGCAGTACTCGAGGAGTATAAAATCCCCACCGTCAACAGTTTTTAATAGCTTCCCTTTGACCTGTTTAGATAGCCTTTGCTCTTGCAAGGGGCAGTTACTCTGCAATAAACTCGCCCGAATGACTCCGGGATTGGCCCGATTGGAAAATCCAATACGCCTTTTATTCCCCGCGATAGACAGAATAAGATCGGCACTTCAGACTGTGTTGAAATTAAATTAGACTCTAAAGAGATCAATGTTCATTATCTAAAGATCGGTGCTCCTCCGGGGAGGCAGTGAAGCAATCTCACTAACACGCTTGGATTTTTCTCTCTTCATATATTCAGCAAAATCCGAGGAAAAGGCAAAACGAGAACTCTACCGTGCTGAGGAAAAAGGCCGTATGAAACTTTAGGCGTTGCCAAATTTCCTTCAATAAAATGCGAATTTCCTGGAAAACTTGTGGATATTTTTCTCCTAATTTTTCACAGAATTTCATTTGTACAGTAATCTACAGTATCCAAACATTTAGAGGAAAACTATTCATAACTGTCCTCAAAAATTAACATTTTATCGGAGGAAATTTGGCAACTCTCAAATGTTCATACGGCGTTTTTTTTTACCGACAGGACTCGGGTCGTGTCCTGGATACAGGGAATTTCGTTCGCTTACAAGAAGGAACGAATTCAAAAGTTCAGAGAAGAGGGGATTCCGAGGAAGCTAAGACATTTAAAACTTTCCCCAGTAAAGTTAAAAATAGGGTTTAATCTCTGATTTCATCTCGGGATTAAATAATCTGAGTCGTAAACTTTCGCTCTGAATCATCGAATCCTACTTTCCTCGGGAAAATACGTATAAATAACCGCTTAATTTCCCTGTTTCCTGTTTCAAGGAGGGAGAAAAAAGGAAGGAAGTGGAACAGAGGACGAATCCTATACATTTGTATTTTAAGACTCGCGGCCTAATTTTCGAGTGAGTCAACCGAGATATAAATAATGGGCTACCAGACGAGGTATGAATAAAGCACCACGTTGTACGCTTCCTCTTCAAAATTCTATGCAGAGAGCGACTAATGCATCGGAAAGGTCGGAATTGAAGGGCTTGGAAGACAAGGCGCATGAGTGCAGCTGTTGAAAAAACTGAGACATTCATGAACTCACCTATAACTAGTTTTAAAGTATACTTTGTTAAAAATTTACAACTAAAATCAAACTTTAAAGCATTAAAAAGTGAGTTTAAACTTCTTCTCCGCCATGAGATCCATGTCATTTTGGAACTTTAAACCCGTATTTCTTGAAATAGCAAAAACTGCTCTTATGCGCCGTGTCCTCCAAACTCCTCAATTCAACTCCCAACAGAGATATCAGATATAAACATGTAATTTTTTGACACTAGTCAAACTAAACACAAGTCATACGGACGGCATCATTTGTATTGTTAACTTTGGAAAGAAAATTATGTTTTAATATTGATGGGAGTGAATTCTTGAACTACCCGTTGTGTGGTTAAAATTTTACATACAACTTCAAAGAAAAAAAACTTAACGGAGGATTCTCATATCGTATCCAGTGCCTCATTCTTATTTTAGGGAGGATTAATACTTCCGTTGAACGTGCTTAGCCAAATTGATATAAATTCCGAACCAAAACTTTGCCAAGATTTTTTCTTCGTTCCGTTTTTATGAAAAATAACCTTTACTTGACGGTATACTTTTTAAAACACTCCGTGAGGTCTCTGCATCTATTCAAGATAATTCGATCAAAATGTCAAATACGAAGTGCCAGGCAAGATTTCCACATAACATAAGAAGTAATCCCTTTAATTAATAATGGATAACGGATTATATAAACGGGTAATGGATTATTCAGAGGGTACTTTTTGCCAATTTCTAAAATTGAAGGCGTGATTGCTATGCGTGCAGTTTTCTCCATACCTCTTTTGCGTCGGATAATTTGCATGCAAATTTTTATTGCTTCATTTGAGAGTGCCCAGAGAGTTGATTTCGCAGATTTTTTTATACATTTTTTCTGATTTAGGAAATCATATACAAATATATTCAAAAGAAAATGCACCGCCTAATGACGTCATCTGGCGGCATTTCCCTTCAAAAAACATGAATTTTAGCAGTTTACGTAATTTTATCACATCTCCTCCGGGAGTTGTTCAATTGGAGAGCCAAGGGTATCCTTGTGTTCAGTTCAATCCGCGGTTTTCACTTAAATACGAATTTCGTTAAATTTCAGACACCTGCCAATTTTCCACATAGTGCAGTTTTTCTGGACATTTTTGGAATATTCTTTCATAATTTATGCCTAGAACTCCCAAAATTTTCCAGGGAAAATATTCTTAACTTGTCATTTTCATTTCAAGGAAAAATATTCATCTCAACACTCGAATATTCGTAGGGCGTTCCTCCCTAGCGAGGCAGAATCCTCATCCCTTCTCGCAGTTTAGAGATCCCCGCAATAAAGCGACCGACGTAGCGGCAGGATGCGTGATCAAAGCGAGAGAGAGTGGTCGGGGGGTGGGGGATTGTCCAGGAATCGAGGGTGGGGGGAGGAGGAAAATCTCCTATTGATAAGGAAAGGGGTGGAATATATGATCAAGATAATGTCGGTCCGAGCTCCAAACGCTTGGATGCGAGCCATCGAACACCACAATATCTTTATCATGGTATCAACTGTTTTATTATTTTCGCGCTCATAAAAATGTTTTTAATGCCGCGAGTTTTCTCGCGTGCTTTCTTTGTAGACTGCGACATGAACGACTTGAGACTTGAAGCGCGGGGGCCAACGAGGCTATTAGAGAGGAAGGGCCGTGTCTATTGTCATTCCTCAAACCTTAAACAGCTAATTTCCTTATGGGAGGCCCTCTATAGTCTGTATTGTGATTATAGGCGATAATATTTTATATTGTAGAATAAGTCGTGTTGCTAATGCCAATCGGCGCTTTTTTTTAACCTAATCCGGGCTTTGGTTCGTTTTCTTCAGGATTTGGTTGAAAATTAAATACTCGATTCTGATTGGTCCGAATTCCAACGACGATAAAACAGTGATTTAAACAAAAATCAACCAAATCCAGACCTGAAAATTCGCCTTATGAGAGGTCCGAGGAGATCCTTGACATTGCATGATAAAAATGACAATTTTATAGAACGATTGGACATATTTCTGCTAAACGGAACTGTGTGTGTTATGACGTGAGCCCCTATCCATTTATTCTTACGGGTCTCAGGGCTCATGTCTTAATGCACATAGTTCCATTAAGCAGAAATACGTCCAATTTTGGAAATATATTATCGTGAGGGGTAACTGGACTGAGTTTAATAGAAAAGAACTAACCCACATAAAGTTAAAAATGGGAAAAAGAGGCTCGAAGTTATATTCCCCCATAAGGCTCGATTTAAAAAATAAACTTCAACCCCTCCTAGGACAGACTCATATTTTTCTCGACGCTGAGTTTTTGGCAGAGGAATATATACGACTAGCGGTACTCAAAAATATATTCTGGACTCAATTTTTTCAAAAATGTGGGTTGGTTCCTTTCCGATGAACTCGGTCCAACTATACTGATTTGCTTCTGCATAAAATAAAAATACTGGATAAATGATCCTAGGATTTGGTTTGATTGAATTCTAATCTCGCCTTTCAATTTTGACGCATCAGTATAGCATTTTGTGGTTCATAAAAATGATTTCAACAAGGCGGAGACATGGTGCTGGGCCCACACCATTTCGCGGGTATATCAAAGCCAAGAAGTTCCAAAAATTATAATGGAGAATTTGCACGCAATTTTTTTATTGCTTCATCTGAAAGTGCCTAATGAGCTGAGTTCGCAATATTTTTCATAATTTTTTTCTGACATGGGAAATTGGAGAAAAATTGATTTAAAAGTGAGAAAATGTGCCGCCTTGTGACGTCATCTGGCGGCATTTCCCATTTAAACGCATGTATTTTAGCAGAATCGGTTATTTTGTCATATCTCCTCTAATAATTGCTCAATTTATGAATCAAGGGTATCTTCGTGTTCAGTTCACTCGGAGGATTCCACTTAAACAGGAAATTCATCAAATTTCAGACCCTTGCAAATTCTCCAGAGTCAAAAATAAATTTGTTTAACTCTAATGAGTACCAGTACAAAACTGAGGGACTTAAAATTTTCGGAACTTCTTGGCTTTGATTTCCCCGCGAAATGGCGTGGACCCAGCACTATTTCTCCACCTTGTTACATATCGACGGTGAAACTACCAAACCACGTATCTCGTTTGCGGTGTTTAAAAATTTACGCTCGCATTTTATTTTTTTGAAGTCGACCAAATCATTATCATTCCTTGAAATTTTCACAGAATTTTCTCCGCACAAAGAGGAAAAATCACAGAAATTTTCAAGACTAGACGTTAAGTAGTTTTTCATTTAAAAAATAATGTATGACAGGAAGTCTGCGACGTCGCAAACCGAGATACGTGGTTTGGTAGTTTCACCGTCGATGTAGTTCGGGCCACTTCTCAGTGTTTTTTTTTCTCTCATAAAAATTATTTGAATTCTCTGAGTTTCCTGGCTTGTTTTTGTTTTCAGACTTCGACTTGGACTACTTGGAGCGGGGCGGCGGCGGCGACTCAAAAACTCATGATGTGATAGCGGCCGCGGCTCCGGGCTCGGAGATGGAAAGAAGTCCCGACTCCATGGAACTAGTCAAAGTCATCCTTCTCGGCGCTCCCAACGTCGGCAAGACCTCGATCATACAGGTTAAAACCGCTTAACTCTAGCTTTACTAGAATACACAGGCTGGTAACATATCATGAAAAATAGAATCTTGGAATTTCACGTGAAATATTTCATGAAATTTCAGAAATTTATGAAAGTTATTGGAAAATACCGGTTCCTTTTCATGTTTTTCAAAATGTAAAAATTGCGACTTTCTTATATTCGTGTGTGCTTGAGCGCGGGTTGCATACTCTAGCCTCTGAAAAATATGAGATATTATCTCACAGCCTTGTGAATTATCATCAAATATTTCACTGAAATTTCCAATCTTTCACTTCTTTTTTACGTTTCATGTCACCCTGAGTACTTATCCTCCTTACAAGCATCCAACTCGTCGTTTCCCTCACAAAAGAACGTAACTCCATTTGAATGTTGCCAAATTTCTCCTCGCAAATTCATATGAACCGAGAGAATATTGGGAGTTTTGAATTAAAAATGTCACTGACTCATCCTCAGATTTATTGCAAAAATTAGACAAATTTTGGATGAAAATTACAGTTAGGCACAGGTACAGTTTAGTACCTAAATTAAATTTATTGTTTAAGTAAATGCGACAACCTTGGAATTAAGTTACGTTCCTTCGTCCGGTAGACGACAAATTATACTAAATGATTCATGGTTAAACTGCCAGGCTGCAAAGGCTATCAAAGTTGAAATCTTTTTATGAATCTCCCAACTAAACTGACATCGGTACTTGGTATCTCGATGTTTCCAAGAAAATACTTATAGTGGCTAAAAAGTCCACAATTTATGGAACTGATGGTGATGCGCAGATCTAATAACGAGAAAGAGATCTTCTTCATCTCCAAACAGCGTAGCAATTTTTCGTGAAAATAAAATTTTGAAATTCCATGGGCAATATTTTGTGAAATTTAAGAAAAATATGAGAGATATTGATAACTATTTTGGAAATTACACGAGAGTCAAACCGATAGACAATGTGCGGAACCATGTATCTCAAAATTCCCGCTTTTGAAGGAAAACAAGCCAACTTTATAGCTTGAACTTTATACAGAATATTCTGTTAATACAGAAGAAAAATCAAGGTTTTCTGAAAATCACGATGACCAGTTTCCCTGAAAAAAAAATTAAAAAAATAAAGAATGGAAACCTGCAACGTCGCAAATGGAGAAACTTGGTTTCACGCTTTAGCTATGGAAATAATTTTTTCATTGTCGTATTTTTAGCACGTGTTGCATAGCCAGTCTCTCAAAATATGTTTCATATTTTTCATATTTTCATCGCTTGATGAGATACTTCCAGGACTTTATATGTCCACCTACCTTTCGTCCATTAAATAAATGTCCACCGCTATTTATGTCCACTAAACGTTAAGTCCAGTCTCTATTAAGTCCACATGATTTAATGTCCAACCATGAATATGTCCAAAATTGTCCAAATTGTGGACGTGTTATGTCCACATTTTACTCTTCTCATTTAAATGACAGGAACCACCTCAAAAATAAATGCATACTGCTACTAGTTAGTAAGTTAGTATATTTTAAGACGTTCAACGTCACAGGCTATCAACGTCTTTACAGAGAATTTTGAAAATGGGGGTATATACGAAAATTTAGATTTTTAAATTCAGAGAGGTGAAGAGTTCCTTCATTCTTAAAAACATGTCATTCATGAATCAATTCATGAAAGAGAACAGACTCTAAGAGCAGATAAAAACATATGTTCATGTGTACATTGTACGGATATGATAAGATGAAAACCAAAGCGGGAGCCTAGGAAACGCTCCAATGCCAAATTAAACATTTTTCAGTAACAGATACAGTCAAAATTAAAAGTCCCCTTTAACTAGTTATTTCGTGCGCCTTCAATCTTGTAGGATACTGTGCAACGCCTCTGACGCGAAATAGTTGCTTAAAGCGTTGCGGCGCGGCAGGCAACCAGCGTGTCACGCGCATGGGCTCCTACAAACCTAACGGGATACTTCACGCGTTGCGCAATGCGTGAAGTATCCCGTTAGATTTGAGGGCGCCAGTGCGCGTTCTGCGCTGCTAACACGCCACTCCGCTCTGTGTTGGGCTCTAATATTTAAACTCGCGGAGTCAGCGTTTTTCAACTCATGATTTTGAAATTTTTGCACTCTCTCCATTGATTATTCCCTTTTAAACTGATGAAAAAGAAATATGTACTGCTGGAAAATATAATGTGTTTTTTTTTGTAAATATAATAGTGGTTCCGTGTCAAATTTTATGATTTCCAAAGCATTCAAATTTATTCTTTTATGTTTTGGGCTTTTACTGTGCTGCAGCGTGGTGTAAGCGCAACTAAACGTTCAAAATTGGACGCATTCGACTTAAGAAGGTCGATGTACAAATAATTTAAAAACAAAAAAGTGCGTGCTTCTTAGTTTTTTTCCGCTTTTATTAATTTTTGTATAGTTTCATTCATCACAACTACGGCTCATTGAGATTCATATCGATGCCATTTCTTGGAAAAGGTTTTACAAATATTTACCACGTTTTAAAAATGTAAATGTCTTTAAAATGAAGTAATCAATTTCATTAAAACAAAAAAGAATGTGCATTCAAGGCATCTTTTATATCGGAAATTTCAAGGATAGAAATGAAACCAAGTATTTACCAAAGACAATTTGAAAAGATGAATCAAGAGAAGAAATTAACATTTCATTTAAAATATGAGTTACGACAACAACACCTCATTCTCTCTTAATTTACTCCTTTCGATATTGTAAATATAATTTTACACACGGACTAAAATATGACGCTTGAATTTGATTTTAGTAGACTTTACATTAATTTGTGGACGTAACTTAGTGGACGTTTAAGTAATGGACTTAACAATAGTGTGGGCTTTAGAACTGTGGACGTAAAAATTGTGGACGAAAAGTCTGTGGACGTAAAAAGGGTGGAAATAAAGTCCGTGTATCGATAAAATATTTCACGGAAATTTGCACTGAAAAAAAAATTGGTAGAATTGACCATTCCTTTACGCTGTATTTCACACAGTGTGAAGAAATGGTAAATCCTATCAATCCTCAAGTCGATTCTGCCAGAGGAAAGGTTACCAGTACCAGTATATAGTAACGTTGACCTTTCTTCCGGTGGAATTGACTCTAAATCGACGCTGTGTGAAATACACCGTGAAGGGATGGTAAATTCTACCAATCTTTTTTTTTTTTCAGTTTAAGATTTTTCATATTTATCATTTGACTGGTGCAACGGCGAATCTGAGAGGAGAATGTTGTGGTGCTGTAAGATTCGGGTGGAGGTGGAAGCGTGTCTTTGAATATTGAGCTTCTTCTTTTAAGCAACGTAACGACCGAAAGAGCAAACACTCTCGGAGGGTCGCGGGGGAACGCGATGCTGCTTTGACGGAAAAACCACACAAGTCCCGCCTGGCTATTTGCTGTCCCTCTCGCACTCATACGCTTCCTACCCCGGCGATTTTCTGTCTCTCTCGCACTTATACGCTTGCTACCTGGGCGATTTTCTGTCTCTCTCGCACTTGTTGCCCTTGAACGGGGCAACCGAGGGTGCAACCACTCTCGGAGGGTCGCGGGGGAACGCGATGTTGCTTTGACGGAAAAACCACCCATGTCCCGCCTGGCTATTTGCTCTCTCTCGCACTCATACGCTTCCTACCCCGGCGATTTTCTGTATCTCTCGCACTTATACGCTTCCTACCTGGGCGATTTTCTGTCTCTCTCGCACTTGTTGCGCTTGAACGGGGCAACCGATGGTGCAACCACTCTCGGAGGGTCGCGGGGTAACGCGATGTTGCTTTGACGGAAAAACCACCCAAGTCCCGCCTGGCTATTTGCTGTCTCTCTCGCACTCATACGCTTCCTACCCCGGCGATTTTCTGTCTCTCTCGCACTTATACGCTTGCTACCTGGGCGATTTTCTGTCTCTCTCGCACTCATACGCTTCCTACCCCGGCGATTTTCTGTCTCTCTCGCACTTATACGCTTGCTACCTGGGCGATTTTCTGTCTCTCTCGCACTCATACGCTTCCTACCCCGGCGATTTTCTGTCTCTCTCGCACTTATACGCTTGCTACCTGGGCGATTTTCTGTCTCTCTCGCACTCATACGCTTCCTACCCCGGCGATTTTCTGTCTCTCTCGCACTTATACGCTTGCTACCTGGGCGATTTTCTGTCTCTCTCGCACTCATACGCTTCCTACCCCGGCGATTTTCTGTCTCTCTCGCACTTATACGCTTGCTACCTGGGCGATTTTCTGTCTCTCTCGCACTCATACGCTTCCTACCCCGGCGATTTTCTGTCTCTCTCGCACTTATACGCTTGCTACCTGGGCGATTTTCTGTCTCTCTCGCACTCATACGCTTCCTACCCCGGCGATTTTCTGTCTCTCTCGCACTTATACGCTTGCTACCTGGGCGATTTTCTGTCTCTCTCGCACTCATACGCTTCCTACCCCGGCGATTTTCTGTCTCTCTCGCACTTATACGCTTGCTACCTGGGCGATTTTCTGTCTCTCTCGCACTCATACGCTTCCTACCCCGGCGATTTTCTGTCTCTCTCGCACTTATACGCTTGCTACCTGGGCGATTTTCTGTCTCTCTCGCACTCATACGCTTCCTACCCCGGCGATTTTCTGTCTCTCTCGCACTTATACGCTTGCTACCTGGGCGATTTTCTGTCTCTCTCGCACTCATACGCTTCCTACCCCGGCGATTTTCTGTCTCTCTCGCACTTATACGCTTGCTACCTGGGCGATTTTCTGTCTCTCTCGCACTCATACGCTTCCTACCCCGGCGATTTTCTGTCTCTCTCGCACTTATACGCTTGCTACCTGGGCGATTTTCTGTCTCTCTCGCACTTGTTGCCCTTGAACGGGGCAACCGAGGGTGCAACCACTCTCGGAGGGTCGCGGGGGAACGCGATGCTGCTTTGACGGAAAAACCACCCAAGTCCCGCCTGGCTATTTGCTGTCTCTCTCGCACTCATACGCTTCCTACCCCGGCGATTTTCTGTCTCTC